AATACTATTTGTATTAAATATATAAAGGGCTATAAAATCAATTTGAATTGTAAAAAACGGAAGAGTATTTTATTAAACAATAATATAACATTTTAATATTATGTCTTTTCCATTTGAAAAAGGACAAATTCAAAATAATTACAATAAATATAATTATATTATATGTATTTTTGTTATCTAATAATTATTAACCATGGCTGTTGAATGATAATATTAGATATTATAAGTATATTCATGATGCAATAATAAGGTGATGTATCAAAACGAAAACATTTGTTTTTGTCTCGATTATCTGTCAAATTTTTCCATGATGCAATAATAATGTGATGTATCAAAACATAAACCTTTGTTTTTGTCTCGACCATCTGTCAAATATTTCCTTATAATATTTCACATGGTTGGCAACATTGCACATCGAATTCAAGTAGAAATTACGCAATTTGACAGTTAATCAAGACATCAGCTGCGCTAAATGGACTACCCATGGCACAATGAATAGGTAGTCCATTTAGAGCAGCTGATGTCTTGATTAACTGTCAAAGTGGTCAATTTTACTTGAATTCCATGTGCAATGCTGCCAAATTTTTGAAATATTATAAGGAAAAATTTGACAGATAATCGAGACAAAAAATGTTTTTGTTTTGATACATCACCTTATTATTGCATCATGGGACTACCTATTTATTGTGCCATGAATTTTTCCATATAATATTTCAAATGGTTGGCAACACCGTCCATCGAATTCAAGTAGTAATTATCTACTTTGACAGTTAATTAAGACATCAGCTGCGCTAAATAGACTACCTATTAATTGCGCCATGAGTATATTTGGTCTGTTCCCGTACTGCAAGAATCTACGAGTTTTTACTATTTTTGTCGATATCATAAAGGAAAAAAGTATTATCGTAGTAAAAAATAGTAGATTCTTGCAGTACGGGAACAGATAAATTGTTTTTTTTTTAATAAATTAAATAATAAATAGGCATGCATAAATCGACATTTGTTAACAAAATATTATTTGTCCATGGCTGTTGAGCAAATAACATTTAAGAAACACCTACACCTATAATTGAAAAATATTAAAGAAATAAAATTAAAACATTCAAATATTATTTGTTTATGGCTGTAAAACAAATAATATTTGAATCCACTTTGTTTTAAGATATATTAACACTGAACGTGTTTTATGAATAAATCATCATTTAAGTTGTCACCTCATTTATGCCAAATAAATGACTATTTACGTAAAACATATTCTGTATTCTAATAACGAAATGATGTATTTTTTAAATAAAAATATTATAACATTCAAATATTATTTGTTTATGGCTGTATAACAAATAATATTTGAATCTATCGCACCCACTTTTGTTTTAAGAATATATTTACACTGAACGTGTTTTATGATAAATCATCTTTATGTTGTAATTTCCATTCAAAACAAAACATTCTCTGTGTTCTAATAACAAAACAAATGAAATGTTTTTTAATATAATGTCTTGTATTTTTTTGTAAATTTAGCTTGCTTATGTTTTTGTTCCTTAACTAATTTTAAAGCTTTTAACTACACCTTTTTCTCAATAAATTTTTGATTTCATTATGTACATTATGTAAAATTATTTTGTTGTTGTTTTTATGTTTTTGCTATCAATTTCCCAATGGCATTATTCAGTTATTCTTAATTAATTAATTGTTATTTTTCTAGTTTTTTGTTTGTGTTAGTAAAGCAACATTTTTATGCAAGTTTTTTATTGATCTAATAATTTTATACTAGGGATCTCAAAATATATGGATAAATATTGCGAATAATTTAATTAAATTTAAAATCGCATTTAGACTATTCCATTTAAATCAACTCGTAAATCGTGGAACTAATGGAGCATTTACATTGTAATGAATTTAGTAAATCCAGACGATTTATGTTGTCAATTCTATTGTCAAATAAATCCTCACAGATGAGGTTAACCGTTTCGTTTAGCTGTTTAAACTAGCATTAAAATGATAAGAAGTTGTTAGTCAGCTGATATATATTTAAGTATTCATACACATTTCATTGATTTTCATATGAGTATGAATGATTTAATTATTTACAAAATTGCATTTAAACGACATTTACATTAGAACTTTTTACCGGGTTAACCTACTCTATGAGGATTTATTTGGCATGTATGCAATGGAATTGACATATGAAACCCACTGGGTTAACGAAATCCGGTATAATGTAAACGTACTATTAGACACGATTTGTAAATCGAGGTACCAAATCCTAAAAGTACGTTTAGATTTACGAAATTCACTCGATCTCAAATGTCAATTCCATAGCGCATACGTCCAAAAATAATTCACTGGATTTGTGGAGATAATTATGGTGACGTATACCTAATGGAATTGACATTTGAGATCAAATGGGTTTAGTAGTCTAAACGTAGCCTAACAGTCTAGAACAGTACTAAATTATATAACGTTGATACACAGCTGATATTTGTTTTTTTGGATTTCTAGCAAATCAAGATACTGAGTGATTTTTAAATTACGATTACTTAATCGATTAACGAAATTCAAAAAAATTAGTTGTAGTGAGTGAGAAATAGGAAAGAGCTTTTGGTATTCGTATTTTTTTGGTTTTTGTTATAACTCTCTACTCATGGCTTCAGACGATGTAAATGCCTTTCAGAAGATTTAAATAACAAAATTGGTGTACAAATTTGAAAAGTATGAATTCCATGTGCTATAAGTTTGTATGGTAAAGGCGCGTTTAGCCTACACCTACTCAATCGAAACGATTTCTAAATCGAGATTTAGAAAGGTATTTAATTGATATAAAGTCAGTCAGCTGACTATTTATTTACGTATACATACACATTTCAAATTCCACGTAGATCTCTAGTATTCTCATTCAAGGTATATTAATAAGATCATCCAGAGATACCATTTGAATATCAGCTGTTTCTCAAGCTTACTGCCAAAATCCATTATTGTGAATAGACTTACATTATAAAAACGTAAACAATGTCCAAATTTTTGACATTACACTTGAGATAACACAGCTGACTTTCGCTTGCTGGGTGATCCGTTTTCTTAGTTCCAATAGGAATTAAATGGCATTTACATTAGAACTTTTTATGGAGTTTCTCTACTTTATAAGGATTTATTTGACATATATGCAAAGGAATTGCCAATTTAAACCCATTGGGTTAACGAAATCCAGTACAATGTAATAGTACTCCATATGTTACAATTATGAAAATTTTGCAATTTTTCAGAGCTGCAATTTTTATTAGACAACAAATTTGAGTTTTAACGTAAACAATACTACATACAGCGTTGCTATTTTGGTACTTTTAGGAAATGTCATGCCTTAATGTTACAAAAAGTGTGTTGCATTTGAAATTATCTTAAATTAACAAATAATTTCGGCAAAATCATGATAATGATTGGATTTAAGTTCGAATGGCATATCGAGGCAAATTCAGCTCGATTTAGCAATTAAATCAAGATGATGCACATTATCACGATAAAAACTGTAGTCTAAACGAGTCTTAAGATGAAGTCCAAAGGTGTGCTTATGGTACAATAAATAGGTAGTTCATTTAGCGCAGCTGATGTTTTGACTAACTGTCAAAGTGCGAAATTTCTACTTGAATTCGATATGCAATGTTGTCAACCATGTGAAATATTATAAGGAAAAATTTGACAGATGGGCGTGCTCAATAAGGTGATGCAATATGCATTAATAAGATGATGTATCACAACAAAACCCTTTGTTTTTGTCTCGACCATCTGTATTTCATCTGTATTTTTCCGCATAATATTTTTCATGGTTGGCAACATTGGCACTTTGACAGTTAATCGAGACATCAGCTGTGCTAAATGGACTACCTTTTTATTGTGCCATGATGTCAGCCTACTATAATATAATTTAATTACATGAATATAGCTATAGTTTGGTAAAGTGTATAAAGAATTATACTGTTGACTTAAACACCCTTTCTCAAATGATTTGTATTCCTGCTTTGATTCTGTGGCGTTGTATTTTGATTGAGTTGAGGGGTTGCCAACCATGTGGACTATTATAAAGAAAAATTTGACAGATGGTCGTGACAAAAATAAAGTTTTTTGTTTTGATACATCAGCTTATTATTGTATCATCGTCCTGACCATCTGTCAATACAATATTTCACATGGTTGGCAAGATTGCACATAGAATTCATGTAGAAACTACACACTTTGACAGTTAATCGAATCGTTAGCTGCAATAAATAGACTACCTATTTATTATGCCATGGAATTCGAGTAGAAACTACTTAAACTTGCTTATATTTTTTTCATTTAAGAGGTATCAGCTCTTACACCCACCAATTTCACCCTCAAAATGTTGATGATTTCAGTGGGATTTTAAATATATCTAGAGCTTATCCATTTATTTTGAGTTAACTAGTATTTTAACTTCGATTCTCTTAAATTCACACTAAATATTATCTACACAGCATTTTTTATGTATGTAATGATTTGAACAATTCAACAATATTTAATTTTCTAATAAATGTATATTAATATTTATGTATTCCCTTTTATGTTAGTATCTAGAATTTTTTATATATTTTTATTACAATATTTATTATGTAGTTATTTTGTTTGTTATAATTCTCATTCAATTCGTTTTCATAAGAAACCTAAGTACGTTGTATATGAAATTTGCATTACTTTTTGCTTTAAATTACTTACATTTACAAAAAATGTTTATATTTTCTTATAACTTTTATTTTGTCTAAATATTAATGCATATATATAAAATAAATTTGGTTAAATATTTTATTGAAAATTAAATATCTTATTAGGTTTACTTAAACAACTAATTCCCTAAACAGTTTTGCATATCGAGTTGGGTTTTTTTCTGAGCTTTTCATTTTATTGGTGGGGAGATTTTTGTTTTTGATTTTGTTTCAATTTCTTTCTACAAAAAAATATTAAGTATTTGTAACAAATAATAATACATAGGTTTTGTTTTTGTTTGAGTTTTATCCTTAAATGCTATACATAATAAATTTGAAATCTGGCAAATGGTTGATTTCAAACTTCTGCAGCTTCTTTGGTATCGGTTAGGCGAACCTGCGTTGCATCAGCTGTTACACCATTTACCGATACCTGTTGATCACGCCAAGGTGTGGTGAGGATACGCAAACGTTCTTTGAGAGTACCACGTGTGGTGCATAGTTTATAAATTGCCACAGCGGGTATCATCATAACCGATGATCCGGCTATACACCAACCCAAGGCATTTGCCCACCGTGGATAGGTGTAATCTTCATAGGAGAGCGGTTCATAACCAATCAAACCATAAACGGTTATGAACAACAAGAACAAGGGAGCCACAAAACGCCAACACACTTGCCAATATTTACCCGGTCGGAAACCGATCATATCACGTATGTCCTCACAGAAACGATTTGTTCCTGATTGTTTTTTGGAATAAACAATTCAAAATAATAAACAAAAAATTCAAAACAAAATTACACAAATTTCAACTTACCATATATCCACGAGACCGCAATTGCCTCAAAGAATACCGCAACCAATATTGAATAGCCGGCGGCATAACGATCTAATAGTTGAAAGAAATAGAAGCCACCTTGTGTACAGCTGGCCAAACCCACAATGAAGTAAAGTGAAAACAATCCAGCCACAAAGACTTCACGATTTCGTCCGATTTTGGGAAATTCATCACTCAAAGCTGTTATAATGGCTTCGGAACCCCCAAACTGAAAAAAGTAAAAGGAAATAGAACTTTGAAAATAATCCTATAGAAGAATTTCTTCGTGTAGAAGGACCTCGGTAAAATTTAAAATGTTTAATGGTCACCAAGAATTAGATCTCCCTCTTTCAAGTAGGAAGTTAACCTGCAACTATTACTTCTAATGGTAGTACTTTTGGCTATAGTACTGAGCAGAGGCTATATGGTGAACAGTTCTGAGCTGTTTGGAATTCTACTGTAAATATTTTCGACAATGGACCTAATCCTGTCAGTGCCGTCTAGGTGTTCGGATCTAGCCTGGCTGTTTGGTCTTGTCTCCTTAGGGTGCATAAATTGTAAAGTTGGGCATTTTCGTTTCTGAAGCGAATTTCATATCTGTCTCTCATCCCTATTTAATGATTATTCCATTGTATACAGACTGCGATTATTAGTTCTAATGGTAGTTCGGATATAAAACTGAGCAGAGGGTAAATTGTTTGGAATTCCACTGGGAATAGTTTCGTGGTTATAAGAGGCAACTAGGATCTCGGATCTAACCTGACAGCTTGGTGTGGGCCCCTTGGGAGCATCGAGTTGCCTGGAAAATTTGTAGAGTTGGACAATCTCGCTCCTAAGACGATTGGTTTTTTTCGGCTCGCTCCGCAAAAGGTACCAGGTTATTTAGTAGAATGTAGTAACCAGCTGGCAGTAACAGTATATCCCAAACAGGTGACACAGAGGCTTATCCGGCCTACTTTAATACCATCTCCTTATTCCGACAGGGCGGTTTAATTTTTTTGTGGCATTTACTGCACGACTAATCAGCTGCCCTCTAGAGTGAGTTCCCTAGCTCACGGATTTGTGCGAAATTAGATCTCATCTAGGGTGTCCAAGCGGCTGAAGCTGTAACGATGTCTCAGAGTTTCTTTTAAGCTACCCGAAAATCAAAAGGAATTAGAAGTGATGTTTGGTGAAGTCGTAGATTTGATTTGATATAGATGTTGTTATCCCTAGTAGAGACGACTGGAACCCTAGCAACCCTCCTCTGGACGGTCTGGCTTTTTATACAAACGGATCAAAGATGGAAGAAGGTACTCTGAAAGGCTAGGTCTTGAACTGTTGTGTTTTCCAAGCTGAAGTCTTCGGTATTTGGAAGGAGAGATAGTTGAACCGGTGACTATTTTTGTGGATAGTCAGGCGGATCTTAAAGCCATCAAATCCTGTAGTATTAAATCTGAGGTCGTCCTAGAGTGTAGAAACGTTTTGTAAGCACTCACTTACAGCTATCGGCTGTGTTGGGTACCTGAACTCCGTGACATCATATCAAGTTCTGGACAACAGACGACACAGATTAGTGGTTGCTAACTTTCCACCTCTCTAAGCTTATTTTATTGAACCTGCTTTGATCTACAGCGTCATTAGAAATCTAAAGTGGCTAGGAAAGTGCAAACTTAGCATGTAATATTTTTTCTGTCCAATTTCTATAGCCATCGGAACTATTCCCACCTTCCTCCTAATACTTCTTGTTAGCATTTTATCCGAACATCGAAATGAATTCGAAGTGATGTTATGATGCCAGTTGATTTTCCTATGGGTTAGGACATTCTTCTGACGTGATTAAATAAGACGATCTGCTGATAAGAAATAGCAGGGACAATGATACGATGGATCTATCTGGCGAACTGAAAGGCTGTCCCTCTATTCTGATATGTGATCATCATGGTGTACCTTGAGATCACTAATCGGTTGATTTCCACCGAGAGTTCTCATAGAACTCTCTATGTCAATCTAGATCTCGTATCAGGTATTCAACCATTAGGAAATGATGTCTCGTGTTTTTTCAGCTACCCGAACATCGAAAGAAATTGAAAGTGATGGTTTTGTGAACTCTCTGAATCACTGCCAGTTGGGTTTCTTATGGGTAAGGAAAGTCCGACCTTCTGACGTGATAAAATAAGTGCTGATGAATGAGATTAGAAATAGTAGAAAAGGCTTTAAGAGAAATAGCGGACTCCCAGATTACGTCAGTTGTCAGGCGAAATGTAAGGCTCTCTCTTTATTCTGGTAGGTCATCATCAAGGTAAACATTGAAATCGCCTAAAACTTGTTACTCCGCGATAAATTTTGTGGGAATTTAGATCTCATATGGGGCATTCGAGTATTAGGTATAAGCCTTGTGACTACAGCTTTCATGATGTCTCGGAATTTTCTTTCTGCTACCCGAACTGAATGAGAAGTTATCGAATGCGCTGGTTAAGAAAAGTGCGATGATGAAATTCGGCGATCTGCTGATAGATCCGATTATTAATAGGTGGTGAAAGGTTGCATGGTTTGCATTGAATCCCGAAAGGGAAATTGATATTAGACAGATTACGCGGTTCACAGCTATTAACTGGCGGTATATATACGTTCCACATATTGCAAATATCGATATGACATTTATTCAAGCCCAATTGGAATTTAAATTTTTTATTGTACTTACCGAACTATCCAAACCCAAAGTTAAGAGCATCATAAAGAATATCAATGCCCAGAAAGTACTGCCCGGCATTGTGGCAATGGCTGCAGGATATACAACAAACACCAAGCCTGGACCTTCTGTGGCAACATCTTCAATATTTTGACCCGATGTATGAGCCATATAACCCAATACGGAAAATATCACAAAACCGGCAATAAAACTTGTGGCCGAATTAATACAGCTGGTAAGGAGGGCATCCCTAAAAGAAAATATCAAAATTGAAATCAGTATTTTCAAAAATTAATAAAAAAAGAAATTAATACTCACTTATAAACATTATTATGATATTTATTATAGGAGGCATATGCCAATAACACTCCAAAACCCGGACCCAGTGAAAAGAACACTTGAGTGGCAGCATCAACCCAAACTTCTGCTTTATAGATGGCATCGAAATTAGGATTCAGATAATATTGTATACCCATTGCTGAACCGGGTAAGGTAATGCCACGAATTAGAAGAATCAAAAGCACAACGTATGGAAAAAGGGCGGTGAACCACACCACTTTGCCTGAGGTGCCAATACCCTTCCACAGCGAGAAATAACATATTAAATAGACTATCAGCAGGCAAATTACCAAATCCCATTTTATTGAACCCAAATTATGGAGACCATCACTTTGATTTAGTTCTAAAATGTAGCGGCTGCAAAGTATGGGGAAATTATGAATATTTTACCAAATATTGTGGTCTGTTTTATGGAACTTACTTAAAATATTCTGAAGCGGCCGACTGGAAACGTTCACTGGCCGGTGTTGTGGTGGATAATGCTAAAGTAAGATTGGCCAGTGTTGTATTGAATTCGGAGGTAATTGTTGAATTAAGCAAACTATCGCTAACGTTGGCGCCCAACAGGGCTGGGGTGCTGGCTTGTTCGAACTATAAGACAAAAGGAAACAAAATATTATTTCCGATAAGTACTCATGTATTTTATTACGTCTTATTCATTTTTTCGGGAATATTACTCACCGGTCTACAATCATCTGTATTCCAGAAATTTGTACACGATGTCCATGGCAATGCATTCGTAAATGAGGCGAAAAAGAAACGCAACGACCAGGCAATAATAACATTGTAATAAAAATCAACATAGAATGCTATTAGAACCACTGCATAACCGATTCCTGGAAAATGGTAGGGATTGTTAAGAATTGCTTAAGTTCTTTGCATTTTATAGTAAAAATCTGAGGCTTACCTTTAAATAATGGCACCAAACGACCCCAACATGTTATCGCACCCTTACGATTGTGTTGACCTAAAGCTAATTCCATGTAAAAAAGGGGTATACCACCAACTAATAACATAATGCAATAAGGTACCAGAAATGCGCCTAAAATAAAGAAGTACAAAAATGTTAAGACAAAAATAGAGAACTTTAGACAACCCTTCGATGTCTTAGACCAGATGATGTAAAAGTTAAATTTTAATTTATTTCGAATTTTCGATAATAGTAATAATTTAAATAGTTAAACATTGCTACTGATATGAAAAACGCAGCGTATAGGGCAAATCGAGCTGTACCGGAGTCACAACGAGAATGGCGGCGAAGAAAATACCCCAAAACCAATAAGAGGTGACGGTATAGAGGTCAGAATAGCAATCAATCGGCTGAAGAATAATAAAGCAGCAGATCCCGATGGGTTAACAGCCGAACTATAGAGGAATTAGTTTCCTACTCATCGCATATAAAGTGCTATGCGAACGACTGAAGCCAATGGTCAATGACTTTATTGGGCCATACCAATGCTTTAGACCTGGCAAATCTACCATTGACCAAATCCTGGAAAACAACCACGAAAAACACATGGACACATTCCATCTATTCGTCGACTATAAAGCCGCATTCGACAGCCCTATCCGTTTAGAGGTGTTTAAAGCCATGTCTGCGTTCGGCATCCCTGCAAAATAAATAGGACTATGCAGGATAATTTTAACTTTAAAGCCATTCCTGCGTTCGACATTCCTGCAAAATAAATACGAGTATGCAGGATAATTTTAACTGGCATACGGTCAGCAGTTAAAGTCGGAAAGGAGCTATCGGAGCCATTTAATACCGAACATGGATTCAGACAGTTTGTCGTGTGATCGTTTTAATATCCGGCTGGAAAAGGTCAAACGAGATGCAAAGGTGAACAGAAATGGCAGTCTGTACACCAAACAATATATGTTACTCGCCTACGCCGATGACATCGATATAATGGGTCGAACATTGCGAGCGGTAACAGCCACCTTTGAATACATTGAGAAGGAGTCTGTCAATGTGGGTCTGGCAGTAATTGGCGAGAAGATCAAGCTGAAGACTTCCACTAGACTCGGACCAACTGTGGAACTTGAGAACTAGAGCTTCGAGGTAGTCAACGATTTTATTTACCTGCTACTGCCAAAAATATTACTTTCTTTTTAAAAGTGATTTTAATCGAAACGAAATAAAGAGTCGTCGTAACCCATTTTTTAAATTTAAAAATGATTTTAGTAGAGTCGAAATAAGCAGCCGTCGTAGAAAAGTGTTTTAACCGTGAAGTGCTTACATCGAAAGCAGTGTGATATTGATATTTCAATATCAGTCCACTTTTTTTGGTAACGGTACCCCTCATTTTTTTTTAGTATTTTTGTGATGTTGCGCATGGTTTTTAAGCGTAATGGTTTTTATTTGATATTTTGGGCTTTAATTGGGCGCCAAATATTCCTGCCAAAATATCCACCTTATTCTTGACAAATTTAAACCAATTAGTCACTTGAACAATTATGCGTGTCAACAACAAATACCAGAATAGAAAAATTACGAATAGTCTCTTGGCCAAACGTTGCAGGACATATGCGTATGACAAAGTAATTTCCTTTAATATCCGATTTGAAAAAAAATGAAAAGTTATTATGCGGTTCACATACAAGCACACACTCCCCACAAATTCAAACACCATAACGTGGTAATACTTTTGACATTTTCAACACCACCACCATCATCACTTTATGACATCACTTCTCTTCTCTTTGCATACTGAAGTCGGCCAAAGACAACAACAACAACAATTAAGTTTTATGCTATTTTTAAATCACATTATTATTATTAGCATGTCCATATAATTCTATTGAAGGCCAGACCATGGTAAGAATAATGGGTAAGGGTGGTGGAGTAAGAGGTGTCAACTGTAAATGACATGAAGGATGTGTTAGTGTGATGACAAGGATGCTGTGAGTCTAGAGAATTTTCCACACTCATTGCTAGCTTGTAATAGAAGTGAAAGGCAAATGGGTAGATAGAATATCACCCCTCACAACAATATTGAGAACCTAAAATTCCATTATAAATAAATCTAATTTTCGTTGTTTTAAAAACGCCACCAGCAGCAACAAAGGCAACAGCAGCAATATCATGTACTCTAGCAAAAAAGCAAAGCTCTCAATTCTTAAATGACATTTGAATGTATGTGTATATTCATACGTTCGTGTGTGTTTGTATGAGCAGGGTACTTGTATGGACTTTTGTTGAAGAGGTTTGAGTGAATTCATTTAAGTGGTTCGAGGCAGGTGTGGAAATTGGGAGTAAACTATAAAAATTTCCAATACTTTCTTTGATATTTATTTTCATTATTTTGAGTATGTCAAAATCGCAGATGGAGGCTTTAAAATAATCTTCATAAAATCCTTTAAAAATCCACGCCTTTTTGGAGACTTTAAAATAATCTTCATAAAATCCTTTAAAAATCCACGCCTTCTTGGAGACTTTAAAATAATCTTCATAAAATCCTTTAAAAATCCACGCCTTTTTGGAGACTTTAAAATAATCTTCATAAAATCCTTTAAAAATCCACGCCTTCTTGGAGACTTTAAAATAATCTTCATAAAATCCTTTAAAAATCCACGCCTTTTTGGAGACTTTAAAATAATCTTCATAAAATCCTTTAAAAATCCACGCCTTCTTGGAGACTTTAAAATAATCTTCATAAAATCCTTTAAAAATCCACGCCTTCTTGGAGGCTTTAAAATAATCTTCATAAAATCCTTTAAAAATCCACGCCTTCTTGGAGGCTTTAAAATGAAAATGTAGTCTTTAAAAATCCACGCCTTCTTGGAGGCTTTAAAATGAAAATGTAGTCTTTAAAAATCCACGCCTTCTTGGAGGCTTTAAAATGAAAATGTAGTCTTTAAAAATCCACGCCTTCTTGGAGGCTTTAAAATGAAAATGTAGTCATTAAAAATCCACGCCTTCTTGGAGGCTTTAAAATGAAAATGTAGTCATTAAAAATCCACGCCTTCTTGGAGGCTTTAAAATGAAAATGTAGTCTTTAAAAATCCACGCCTTCTTGGAGGCTTTACAATGAAAATGTAGTCTTTAAAAATCCACGCCTTCTTGGAGGCTTTAAAATAATCTTCATAAAATCCTTTAAAAATCCACGCCTTCTTGGAGGCTTTAAAATGAAAATGTAGTCTTTAAAAATCCACGCCTTCTTGGAGGCTTTAAAATGAAAATGTAGTCTTTAAAAATCCACGCCTTCTTGGAGGCTTTAAAATGAAAATGTAGTCATTAAAAATCCACGCCTTCTTGGAGGCTTTAAAATGAAAATGTAGTCTTTAAAAATCCACGCCTTCTTGGAGGCTTTACAATGAAAATGTAGTCTTTAAAAATCCACGCCTTCTTGGAGGCTTTAAATAGTCTTTAAAAAATCCACGCCTTCTTGGAGACTTTAAAATAGTCTTTAAAAAATGCACGCCTCCTTGGAGGCTTTAAAATAGTCTTTAAAAAATCCACGCCCTCTTGGAGGCTTTAAAATAGTCTTTAAAAAATCCACGCCCTCTTGGAGGGTTTAAAATAGTCTTTAAAAAATCCACGCCCTCTTGGAGGGTTTAAAATAGTCTTTAAAAAATCCACGCCCTCTTGGAGGCTTTAATATAGTCTTTAAAAAATCCACGCCCTCTTGGAGGCTTTAAAATAGTCTTTAAAAAATCCACGCCTCCTTGGAGGCTTTAAAATAGTCTTTAAAAAATCCGCGCCTTCTTGGAGACTTTAAAATCGACTTTAAAAAATCCACGCCTTCTGGGAGACTTTATAATAGTCTTTAAAAAAATCCACGCCTCCTTGGAGGCTTTAAAATAGTCTTTAAAAAATCCACGCCTTCTTGGAGGCTTTAAAATAGTCTTTAAAAAATCCACGCCTTCTTGGAGGCTTTAAAATAGTATTTAAAAAATCCACGCCTTATGGTAGCCTTGAAAATGTAGTCTTTAAAAAATCCACGCCTTCTTGGAGGCTTTAAAATAGTCTTTAAAAAATCCACGCCTTATGGTAGCCTTGAAAATGTAGTCTTTAAAAAATCCACGCCTTATGGTAGCCTTGAAAATGTAGTCTTTAAAAAATCCACGCCTTATGGTAGCCTTGAAAATGTGGTCTTTAAAAAATCCACGCCTTATGGTAGCCTTGAAAATGTAGTCTTTAAAAAATCCACGCCTTATGGTAGCCTTGAAAATGTAGTCTTTAAAAAATCCACGCCTTATGGTAGCCTTGAAAATGTAGTCTTTAAAAAATCCACGCCTTATGTTAGCCTTGAAAATGTAGTCTTTAAAAAATCCACGCCTTATGGTAGCCTTGAAAATGTAGTCTTTAAAAAATCCACGCCTTATGTTAGCCTTGAAAATGTAGTCTTTAAAAAATCCACGCCTTATGTTAGCCTTGAAAATGTAGTCTTTAAAAAATCCACGCCTTATGTTAGCCTTGAAAATGTAGTCTTTAAAAAATCCACGCCTTATGTTAGCCTTGAAAATGTAGTCTTTAAAAAATCCACGCCTTATGGTAGCCTTGAAAATGTAGTCTTTAAAAAATCCACGCCTTATGTTAGCCTTGAAAATGTAGTCTTTAAAAAATCCACGCCTTATGTTAGCCTTGAAAATGTAGTCTTTAAAAAATCCACGCCTTATGGTAGCCTTGAATATGTAGTCTTTAAAAAATCCACGCCTTATGGTAGCCTTGAAAATGTAGTCTTTAAAAAATCCACGCCTTATGGTAGCCTTGAAAATGTAGTCTTTAAAAAATCCACGCCTTATGTTAGCCTTGAAAATGTAGTCTTTAAAAAATCCACGCCTTATGGTAGCCTTAAAAAATGTAGTCTGTAAAAAATCCACGCCTTATGGTAGCCTTGAAAATGTAGTCTTTAAAAAATCCACGCCTTATGGTAGCCTTGAAAATGTAGTCTTTAAAAAATCCACACCTTATGGTAGCCTTGAAAAAGTAGCCTTTAAAAAACCATGCCTCAAAAATTTAATATTTAAAAAATTCCTCGACTCCTTGGAGCTCTGAAAATTACAACTATAAAAAACACCCATAATGGAAAAAAACCC